ATATATAAATTATTTTATTTAATTTCCAATTATTTTATACTAGAAGATTAAAGAGTACAACTTCTTTTAAAAGTTATATTTAGTCTTTTTTCATAACTCCTCACAACGAGAGATAGTTAATTATTTAAAATAAACCAAATTAAAGGTACTTTAGAGGAAGACGTTTGTAACATTGCGCATTTAAGCTCTGTTATGCAACATCAATAAGAATAAGACCTAAAATATATCAAAGATTACTTAAATATACAATGATAAACAGAGTTTCATCAAAATTCTTACAGGCATTATTGAGAAAATCTGTAAAATCGATTATATAAAGTGGCACTTATGGTTAGCAGATTTTAACGAGAAAGTTTCTGTATCATCCCGATTATGTATAAACCTTAAATACAAATTTTCAATTCCGTAAAAATTTTCGTTTTTGAACTAGTCTGTTTTCCGCACATATATGTTGCGTAAAACAGACTGTTAATTCAAGTCCTCAGTCCATTCCCTTTCAACAAGATCTCGACCTTCTGACCTCTACATCCCTTCGCACAGATCTGCCTCATTTCAGAATTCCTTTATAGCTCGCGCTGTCAATTTCTGGAATTCTCTACCTAACAAAATTCGGCATTCCCCCTCCATAACCACATTCAAATCCCTCCTATTCCAATTCTTATCCCAAAAACAGACAGATACTTGCTAAACTTTAGATATTATACACTTCTAGTCATCATCAAACGACAGTGCTATTCTATACTGAGAACTTCACTAGAGATATTACAATACTTTTCGGCTCTTAATGCCACTGACCGCATCTATTGTTTGTTTTTTATTTTTATTATTATTTTTTATTGGTATATAATTAAATCTGCACCTCTAGCATTTGACAATGATGAGTCTACAAATTAATCATTATTTAAAGACACTGATATTTTATATTGTCAGCTTTATCTTTTCTTTGTTAGCAGAAACACGCCTCATTTTAAAGAAGAACTCAATGTATTTTTTATTATTTTATTTTCAAAAGACTATAATAATAATTTTTCCTACTGTACATAGTCTTAAGTGTTTTATCATAGTTTGAAGTGTTTTGTATATAGATTGTTTTTTGTTTTTTTATATAGCTTGTTTAACTAATATTTTCTTTACATTCTCCTTTTTATTATTGTTTTATTTTGGCCAGATGTAGTATTTTAATTATGTTCTATTTTGTTATTCTAAAAGGACTTTGTCCCAGAATAAAGTTATTTTCTATTTCTATTTCTATTACTATTTTGCACGACTTGGTTATTTGGACTCAAGGGACCTTAAAACAAATATTTCCGTTGAAAACCCAGATTCAAAATTATCACGATCGCAATATTTACCCTTACATATAATAGGTAAATAAAAGTAAAAAAATTAAAGGTACTTTAAATCGGCATTTAAACCGTGTCCGGTTGTATCGATGGGGATAAAGCCTACATTAAATTAAAAAAACACTTAATAATACACTGGATATAGTGAATTAAATCATAATTGTTAGTGCCGTTCATTAGCGGATCTGCGATTTAATTTTTGGGGGACTTCAACCCGAAAGCTTTTTTTTTTCTTAAAAATAACGATAATTACTTTGGAAAAAAAGAAAGAAACTAACTACCTATATGAAATGGTATTTAAGTAATTCCTAAAGTCCTTTTAAATGTAATTACACTAACAATAATACTTAAAGAGATACTATTTTACATAAAACATTGTTATATTTTACCATTTGGGTAAATTCCTGCCTCCCTCCCCGGTAGATCCGCCCGTGGTGCCGTTTTAGAGGAAATTTTATAAATGTCAAAATAAAGTGCCACGTGAAGTTGATTTTGACGGAAAAGTTACTGTAACATCCCATGTATATAAAAACATTATATATGCAATTTCACTTTCATACAATTTTTCGTTTTTGAGTTAGGTTTTTCACGCACAATTTTGAGAGACTTGGTTATTTCTACTCAGGGGGCTCTCAAAACATGTATTTCTGTTGAAAACTCAGATTAGAAAATGTATTTCATATATATTTAAGTAAAAGAAAAAAAAAAATGGAGTCGGTCTTACTTTAAAACATAAATGAATTCTAAGCTGTGGTATAAATAATCTTAGCGAATAATTTATGAGAACATTTTCTAGTTTAAATTATAACTAAGTCCCGTGCGAGAATTCTTATATACACAAGATGAATAGTAAGTGGGGAGGGAAATATTTAAACACGTAATAATAGACAACAAGAGCTACATAAAAAACTAAGATGTGTGCTTTAGACCACACGATACAAACGAAAACATCAACAAAGCGAGATTAATAATACGCAATATAAATAATAAATAATAGCTCATTATAAAGAGGATGAAATGGTGAACCGATTTTTAGTTTATGAGATATTTTAATCCATATCTTCAATAAAACTCGTTATAATTTGGTTTTCGACACGGGCGGATCTACGGGGGGGGGGGGAGTTTTGGGGCTGAAGCCCCTCCCCCCCCAAAATGGTGAAATATAACCATGTTTTATCGAAAAAAATATTTAAAAAATATCTCTTTCAGTCTAAAGTCCTCCGTACAATAGTCGATGCTCCCTTCTATGTAACCAATAAAACACTGCATAATGACCTTAATATCCCATTTATTCTTGATCTTATCCCAGCCAAATTTTCCAAATTTCACCAGAACCTTTCAGCACCACCCATCCCTACAACCCCCTTCGTAGGTTAAAGCGGCAGTGGCCACGAGACCTTTTGTAAATATGGATATTTTGTAGTTGTAGCAATGGCCAGATTCTCCACTCAAGTCATGAGTGTCTGTGGCTGTAGCGCTCTTACTCATCCTCCGCTGGTTTTAAATACCAGTGAAGTGGCTGAGGGAGAAGCGTAGGGATCTCCTAAGCCTCCCTTTTCCCTCCACATGTGGAGGGGACAGGATTGGTTCGGAGATCACTTGGCAAATTTTAAATAATGTATATAGTTATGTTTTATATAAGATGTTTGTTTTACTTTTATTTCTATTTTTATTTACTTATGTGTATATATATATATTTTTTCTTTTCTCTTTTGTTCTTTTTTCTTATTCTTTTGTTATTACTTTATTTATTTATATTTTTGTATATACGGTATGAATGTACTCTCTGAACTCTATTATAAGTGTCATTAACTGTGACAAATTGTAATATTTCTGAATAATAATTCTAAAATTCTAAAAAGTATCTCTTAAAGTATTATTGTTCGTGTAATTACATATAGAAGGTCTTTAGGAATCACATAAACACCATTTCATACAGGTAGTTAGTTTCTTTCTTTTTTTCCAAAGTAATTATGATTATTTTTATAAAAAAAAAATAACTTTCGGGCCGAAGCCCCCCCAAAATTAAATCCTGGATCCGTTAGTGCCAAGAGCTACATAAAAAAAACCTAGGTTTTGTGCTTTAGACCACACGATACGAGTGAAAACATCAACAAGGCGAGATTAATAATACGCAATATAAATTATAAATAATAGCTCATTATAAAGAGGATGAAATGGTGAACCGATTTTTAGTTTATGAGATATTTTAATCCATATCTTCAATAAAACTCGTTATAATTTGGTGTTCGACAATTTTTTTTACCTTTTCGCCTCTCGAACACGGCGTCGCGTTGAAATATAATTTTTAATAACAGCCCATTACAGATAAGACGAAATCCTATACAATTCCATAAATAGACTGGAATAGTGGCAATATTATTTTATATCCTATTTGTTGCCATTCATGAGAAATTTTGTATTATCATTCAATATGAATAAAAAAAAAAAAGAAGTAAAAATAAATTAGTATATTTATTTTATATTTTTGCTGACGTTTCAGACCAATGTTCAGGCCTTCATCGGGGCAGGTCAAATGAAAGGTTTCCATATATCTTCAATAAAACTCGTTATAATTTGGTTTTCGATACCATTTTTTGCCTTTTCGTCTTTCGAACACGGCGTCGCCTTTAGATACAATTTTTAATAATTTTGAGGGACTTGGTTATTTCTACTCAGGGAGCTCTTAAAACATGCATTTCTGTTGAAAACTCAGATTATAAAATGTTCACGATCGCTATACTTTCCCTTACTATATATTACATATACAGGTAAGTGCTAGTGTTGTCCAAAATCGGTCTTGATCTTGCACTTTGCAAGACCAAGACCAAGGCCTCCTAACTGTTGCAAGACCAAGACCAGGACTGGTTTTTTTAGTCTCAATAAATAAAAAAGTATATTTTAAATTTATAAAAATTTTTGCCTCTTCAGGGAAAAAAACTAAAAAAGCCATATTTTTCCTCCTAAGTGTCCGATTTTTTTTGTTTTTTTTTAGGAAATTCTGTAAACTTAAAAAAATTATATACAATATCTACAAGAAAGTGTATACTTTTTGAGTTATTCGGAATTTAATTTTACCATCCCTCGTAACTTTTTTTCCAGCTTCTTTTCGTTGAAGTATGTTATATAGATAAATTTAAAGGGTGTCGAGAAAATGACTTTAGCGAAGTTTCATTGAAATCGGTACATTCATTTAGGAGCTAGAGTCTATATCAAAGCAGGTTTTTCAGGTTAAAATAGTTATTAATACTTGACAACCTTAGTTACTATATGTTAATAATTGGTATAATCAATGTACATATGCATTTAAATCCTCTAATTTTTCATTAATATTTCAATATCTATATGGTAATAAGCTAATAAGTAACTGCGAGACTCTTGCGCAAGACCGTGACCATGACCAAAACTGAGTATGCAAGACCAAGACTCGTCATGGTCTCGCATTTGGGCAACACTAGTATAAGTCACAAAACAGATATCCATCGGTTTTCTACCAGCAGCGAGATGAAAATTACTGCATCCATGATGAGTCGATGTGATAAAGCATATTTTAAAAGAGGGGATAAATAAAAGAATTAAAAATAGTAAAAGCAGCGTGTAAGCAATGGATTTAGCATGGATATGTAAGATATAGTTGGCAGCTAAGTGTTAACTTACCTTCGGTAGCTTCAAGTTCTATCCTCAAGCAGTGCTGGTAATTGTCGTCTTGGTGTCACTGTGGAGTATCCACTCCTGTACTCCTGTCAACACTTCCAAGTGAGCACCCGATTGGTCCGTTTAGACCACGCCCATCCCTTTGGACCAACCGCCTCAATGGCCGACCCCCCACTCCTCCACCTCGTCAACGCGGTGATAATTTTCGGTGGCTATGTTTTTATTTACCGTTTTTGTCTCGTCTTGTTAGTGCTCGTTTGATTATATCGTTCTTTTAGTTCTCTTGTTGGTTTGATCTGCTTAAACGTACTTCTGTTATTGGTTCATTGTTTTCAATAATTAACCATTGTAATCCACCAAAAAAATCAAAAACTTAACCCCTCTCAAAATTTATGTTTTTTTTTTGTTTTGGTTTTTTATAAAATCGGCCAAAGACTCCCACTGAAGTCCTATACTGCAAGGTTTTATGTTTAAGGATACGAAAATTCGAAAATCGAATAAAACTTTTATTGTTTGTTTCGATGTCTAGGCGCAAAACATCCAGGTCATAAGCGCCCGATCAACTAAATAACATCATTTAATACTATTTGGATGATTGGTACAAAAAAAAAAAATAAATAAATAAATAAAAAAATAAATAAATAAATAAAATAAAATAAAATAAAGAAAGAAATGGAGTGATAGAATAAAATAAATAATTAAGGATAATAATAGACATTTATAGGTAATAAGATGTATAAAAAATGTATAAATAAATAAACTTTAAAAAATAGCAGTAGAATCAATAAAAAAAAAAAATAAAAAAAAAAAAAATAAATTAAAAAAAAAATATATATATAATAAAAATAAATAGATAAAAAGGAAATTAATAAATAAAAAAAAGCCTGTCAAATGTGTTTTTTAAGTCTTTCACTATCCATAAACTTGATGACTTTGGTAACCATTTCTTCCTGATTTCCCAGGGACGCTGATATATTCTGGGGTATTCCAAAATCTTCTAATCTTGCGGTGTAAAAAGGGCAATCCTCTAAAATATGTCTTATAGTTAGTGATTGGTTACACTTTTGACATCGGGGGGGTAGAATCTTTTGTTATGAGGTGGAGGTGAGTCAAAACTTTTATTGTCCGTCACAGAATCTCGTCACAGTCTTGCAGTTACTTATTAGCTTTTTACTATAGAGATTATACCGTAATTTTTTAGATAGAAGAAACCTAACTAAGCCAGAATGAAAAATCAGAAAAGTTAAATACAAAAGTATATTGGTTATACCAATTATTAACATATAGTAACTAAGATTGTCAAGTATTAGTAAATCTTTTGCCTTGATTTTTATTTTAAAAACCGATTTTTTTTTACCAGTCTGTGGTCTTGGTCTTGCAAAGTGCAAGACCAAGACCGATTTCGGGCATACCGATTAATATTTATTAAATATTAATAATAATATTTAAAAATAAATATTGTTATTTATTTTTGCCATTTTTTATTTTGAATGATCTGTCTCTTCAATTATTCACTACAGTCAACCATCAACACACAATTATTATTATTATTGTTGTTTATATGGTTCTTTATATTTAACATTAAATCCTCTAGTTACGTTGAGAAACTATTCAAAGAATTAGAATCGTACAAACCAATAAATATTATTTTTATTTTGATCAACAAACACATTAGCAATATTGCAAACAAGGCAAAGTCTTCAAAATCTGTTTCATACCAAGAATCAGTTTAAACCTCTCTCGTTGAAGATAGAACAGTGTTTTTATTAACTGATCCGAAAAAAATAAAGTCAAAACTATTCCATTTGTATGTGATTTAATTTATTATGGATAAGTACTCTGTTATTATTTATACTGTATTATTCTTCATTGATGTATGACTTTTTTTAAGTTCACAATTTTGATGGACCATAGCAAAAAAACTACCCAAAACGTCTTTCCAAGTTTTTTAGAGCATAAAGTTTACCTCAAGTATAATGTACTAACGATTTTTATTTTCAGATCCATCACATAATACGATGTTTTTTTCTTACAAATTTGGAAAAATATGGATAAATACAAGAAAACGGAATCAATCTTTTAGAAAATACTGAATCGATTTGATCCGCACTATGCTCCTAAAGAAATATTGAGCAACCAGCTTTACCCGGCCACGCGCTGCTGTGGCTTAGCCTGGCAAAATGAAAAAGAAAGAAAATAGAAAGCACATATGAGTAGCTTAGTAGCAAAGGACATCTGTCATTTTTAAAAAGTTGGGAAACAAATTTGTCTGTAAATTGGCTTCAATTTAAACTAATTATAATGATTTTTTTTCTCATGATTCAAATTGAACATTCATGATCATCTGAGTGAATACGCCGTCATTCAAAATCATCAGAAACAGTCTGAACTTATAAAACTAAGAGTTGAACTTATAAAACTAATTTAAAAAACGTATAATAGTATTGACCTACATAGGGCGAATCATATAACTTCTTCAAATGATAATTTCAATTACTATAGTAATTATAAAATTTTCTATTAATCAATAAAAAATAAAATAAAAAATGCTTGCCTACCTTCGGTAGTGAGGAAGCAAAAGGAAACGGCCTTTTCTGAAGAGAAAGCAGTAAATGTTTAAAACTCAAAAACTCTGCAACGAACCGTCCGATTTTGATGATTTTGTTTTATTTTGTGAGCCATTCAGAAATCTTTCAAATAAATGTGAGTATTATCAGTCAAACATTGTGTATTTTTTTAGTTATCATCAAATAACATATTGAATTCATCATAACATTTTCCAGCTTGATTTCGGGAAAGTATGTTATACACATAAATTAAAAGGGTTTCAAGGGGAAGACTTTAACCAAGTTTCGTTAAAGCCGTTTTGGCGCTACAGTTTATAGCAACACATTTTTTTGCTGCTTTGAACAGAAAAACATTTACATTTTTATTTTGTTTACATACATAAAATTATCGTAACACAGAAGTACTATGCCAGAAACCTTCCCAGGAGTGTATGGAACAACTTCCTAAAGTTTCATGGCGATCGGTTGAATGGTTTAGTAATGCACTAAAGACAAACAGACAGACAGACAGACATAGATATTAGAAAGACTGCCGGTTTACTCTCATTTAATATATCAAAAATGTGGGGGCGTGTTCACCGCACATAAAAAAAAAAAAAACATTCTTAAACTTATATAAATACTACAATTTAGTACAAGATATCAATTTAGAAGAAGTTGTCATGAATTATTATCAAGAAAAGGGCAATTCATGTCCTGATAGTCCTTCCGGCTTACTTGGAGGCAGACCTAAGAAAGAGTTTGCTTTATGGAGAAAAAATGTAAAAAGACAAAGCAAAATCAGTCCAGACATTAATGAATATAAAATATAGATTATGTATTCTTATATGATAGAGATCATTACAATAATCAAATAGGCATTGGTTTCCTTATAAGTTTACATTCTGACGAATCCACAAACAATTCAGATTCTGAATAAAGAAATGATTTAATAATTTCATAGAAAATGATAAAATATTATAATTATATGGTAATATTACTAATCAAGTAATCAAGATATTGAGAGACTCGCTCGGACTCTATTAAAAGAAGCAGAGCAAATCGGACTACAGGTCAATGTAGATAAAACAAAATACATGATCGCCGAAACATCCACCCTAATAACATTATCTGCGTGGATTCTATGTCATTCACGAAAGTAGACAGATTCATACCTCGGCTCCATAATAACCTCAATAAATGATCAACTAATAGAGATAGACCATCGAATAACAAGTGCGAACAGATCTTTCTTCTCTCTTTCAAAGGTACTGAAATCCATAAAAGTCTCCAGAAATCTCAAAATAAGGGTGTACAACGCCGTGATTAAGCCAGTTCTGCTGTACGGTTGTGAAACCTGGGCTCTAACTGGCACACTAGAAGCCAGAATTGAGAGATTCGAAAGAAAAGTTCTACGTAGGATAACAGGACCTATATGGGACCAGAACCTTGACACATGTAGGAGGAGGAACAATAAAGAACTGTTGAAAGAAACGGGTCAGTCAATATCTCATGATATCAAGGCAAGGAGGTTAAGATGGGCAGGGCATGTAGCTCGTAGTAATCCATCAGAACGCCTCTACACGACAATGAATGCCAGAGTAGTAGGCAAGAGATCACTTGAGAGTCCAAAAACCAGATGGATAGATAGGATAAATAAAGACACGGCTCAGCTTCAGGCCGCAAACTGGAAAGCAGTAGCCCAAGATAGGCAGAGGTGGAGAAGGCTGGTTCAGGCGGCCAAAGATCTACAAGGTCTGTAGAGAAAACCGAGAAAAAAAAACAAAACAAAAAAATTCTATATGTATAATTTATAGTATATTATTACTATATTATATGTTACAGTTATATTACATTTATATTATATTATATAATATTGTTATACCTGATATTATTACCTCCTATATTATTTCTATTTATATTACAAATATTACAATTAATATTATTATAGTTGTACAGTACACATTATTATACTATTGTTAATACAAAATATTTATTTGAAAAGAACTAGTGGTTAATGATTTTTGTCCATTATCCCCACTACTCGGTTACACTGTGCGACCGATAGATTGGAAAAAGAACAAAGAAACTAACTACCTATATGAAATGATGTTTAAGTGATTCTTGAATTTCTATTAAATTTAGTTAACAAGAAAGAATTTTTTTTCATAAAACATAGTTACATTTTACCATTTTGGATGGCTTCAGTCCGAAAAACCTCCTCGTTTAATAAGCTGTAAGTCCATATTAATTAAATTGAGATTTATTATGAAAACAATTGAATCCCCTCAAGTTGTTTAAAGACATGATGTGATTTTCTATCCAGTCACCTAAAGGTACGCATGTTTTCCGAGCCCTCTCGTGTTTAATCTTGCTTCATCGTCGATTCCTGATAACCCTCCGAGGCTTCCGAAAAGAAAAAGGCTTTAAGATCTCCTATTTTAAATACATTTTTAGAGCGCTATCAGTGGGCAGTTTCTCAACAAATGTTTTCGTGTTATCACA